GACGTCCTCGAGGCCGTCGTCGTCGTGAGTTCGTTTGTCGTCGTCTTCGCTGTCGCCGCCGTCGCTGCGTCGCCTTCTCCCCTCGCCCAGGGCCAGGCTCAACCTTCGATCAAGGGACAGAAGACTCGAGATACACAGGCATACCGTAGCATATCTAACATTTCGACATTTCGCACATCTCGTTGACCTGCGCATATCACATAGCGAATAGCCTCAAATAGAACATATCATAGCGCCTAACAACACAGCGCCACATAGCACTTGGCACGCATAGCATAGTAGCATAGTAGCATAGTAGCATAGTAGCATAGTAGCATAGTAGCATAGTAGCATAGTAGCATACAGCATAGTAGCATAGTAGCATAGTAGCATAGTAGCATAGCTCATCGCACTGAATGCTTTAATCGAAGCAGGATTCTCCCCTTATCCCAGCCAGTACTCAATACTCAATACGTTTGACCCCATACAAAGTGCCACATCGCACGTTCGCGCAACGTTCAATGGTTGGCCTATGGCGCCTGTGGCCTATGGCCCCCCATTGGCCCAGTGGCCATTGGATTAAGCCAATGGCGAGCAAAGGCCCCCGGCGCCTTGGCCTTGGGAACCGCCCTGCAAAAGCGGAGCTGAAATTCAACGCCCTGATACAATCGCCACAGAGCGACAGACAATGATCAACTCTCGTGCGACGGAACTAATGACTGATGACTCAACGTTTCTTGCTTCCTCCTCCTCCTCCCTACTACGCTTCCCTCCTCCTCCTCCGCCTCCTCCTTCCTTCTCCTGTCTGCTAAAGGGCGACGTCTAAAGGGCGACGTCAGGCTCACTGCCCTCGTCGTCTCGCTTCGGCCTCTCCAGCGCGAAGACGCTCTCAAAACCTGGCTGGGTCTTCAACCACGCGCGGGCAGCCCGCCTTCTCTCAAGGCCATCCTTTCCAGCCAAATAGAATTTTATTGCTTGGTGTGAGGCCTTATCGACGTGCTCACCCTGACACTGCAACCACGCAATGAGCAATCCTAGGGGCCGACCCTGCCCACGCCTCTTGACGTGTGCTATGCGGCTGCGGTCTGTGTGGCAACACTGGGCTGGCGTGCCAAGCTCAGGATCAGCCCGTCTCACGTGAGACGCGCACTCGCAATGGGCGTTTATGGTGGCGCCGTTCTCTTTCCAGACGACGCAACCCTCGACGCCAGGCACTCGGATTCTCCGCCACATGCCACCAGCGCCGAACACCTCCGGCCCCGCTGGCGCCGCTGGCGGAGGAGGAGCGCCGTCCGCGTCTCCGCCTTCACCGCCGCCTCCGCCGCCTTCACCGCCGCCGTCGCCGCCTCCATCAGCGCCGCCCTGCTCCCCGACCTCTTCCCCATCGGAGCCGCCGACTTCACCGCCGTCGCTCCTGAAAGAAACCTCTGAGTCTGAGCTCGACTCATCAGGCAAAAGCTCCACCATTCCCCCGCCAGCGGGCGCTGGCGGGGCCGGCGCGGCTGGGCCCGCAGGACCTCCTGGGACGTCTGGGGGGCCGCCGAGGCCGAGCTCTTCCTCTGCCCCGCCGGCGACCGCGGCAGCTTCTGGAACGCCAGGCAGATCGACGGTGCCAACCCTGCTGAGGATTTTCCCGACCTTCCCCTTTGGTTTCGTCTGTATCTTTTTCGGGGCATCGAGCGCGGCCAAGGGATCCACCTCCTTCGGCTTCTTGGGCTTCAAGAACGCTGGCCAGATCTGGACGCCATCCGACCACCCTGACACGACGAAAGTGCCCATGTCGCTGTCTCCAGGGGCTCCAACGGCGATCAAGGAAGCGGTGCGCACCTCGATGGTTGCGAGGTCATCCTCGCGAAGCGGGGGTACCAACAAGCGCATCATGGCAGGACGACGCCCGGGTGAGAAACCGATGCGAATATCGCGAGGCACGACGGATGATCTTTCGAGGCGCCCAAGGGTCCAATTGAAGGCCCCAGGGAGATCGCCCCTGCTCTTCACGTATTAAACTATGCTTGTGCACTATACCCCATACAGTGCACCCTGTACCCAAATCCATGTATCCTTACCATGCCATATACCCAAGACCCTATACCCTATACCCTATACCACCCCATACCCCACGCCCCATACACCATGCCCAATACCAATTCCCAATACCCAATACCCAATACCCAATACCCAATACCCAATGCCCAATGCCCCAATGCCCAATGCCGCCGTTCTGAGAACCTTCTCTTCGGCGAGGTGGCGATAAACCCTAACCCCGCCCCCCAATGGGGAAAGAAAAGGTTGGAACAGAGGGCAACCTGAAACATTCGCCTCCAGTGAGCGTGTAAGGGCGGACAGGGAGGGGCGGCGGTGATATCTGCAAAATGAACAATGCGGGAATGCCAGAATGCCAAATGCCAAAGGCCCACCCCCCGCGCTGATCGGCATCCAGCATCCACCATGTCGGCCCGAAAGAGAGCTCCGAGAACGTTTCAGAAGAGCTCGAAGGCACCGCGGGAGCCAGAAATAAGAAACAACTTGAAGGTACCCCGCGACCTCAACAATTCAGGCGCCTCGACATAGCATCGAAAGCTACATGAGAAAATGCAGCGAATGAATTTCCAACTCGTCCTGAAGAAGCCCCCAGGATAGACTCCGGATCCCAGATGCGCGCTTGCATGCTACATGCTGCATGCCTGCATGCCAGATGCTTCAAGAAACAAAATCAAAATTGATAACGGGAGTCCTGGGGAAGCTGCGATTTTACGCTCGTCATCGTC